TGCAAGAGCAGCTAGACTCTTTGCCCTTCCTTTTCAGCACAGGGAGGGTGTTCTTCCTCTCCTCCTAACCTCCTACTTCAACCAGGGACAATCAGAGGAAAGCTGGCTCCACACACTGGTTTGTTCATAGCTGCCAGGAAGCAGGAACCAGTACTAGGCACTGCTCCCCCTTTGGCCAGCCTGCCAGCCGTGAGTGCAATCATTTTCTGTTACAAGGGCCTGCTTTCTTAACTCGTAGCCGGGAAGGGCAAACCATTCTCTGAAGTTCATGTCAGAGCTAGAAAACCCCTGCTATGATCCAGGAATGATTTCATACTCTTCCAACAGGAACAGCTCCTTGGAGAAATGCTCCCAGCACCACGACAGCTTTTGCTTTACAGTTCTTTATCTTCCCTCCTTTCTCCCTCTGCAACCCAAACAGCCTTTTTTCACCACTTACATGATTCACAACTCTCCCCTGTCGTAGCAAGGGATAAAGAAGCTGGCTCCACACCTGTACTTTAAAGAGCCTGTCCCAGGTTACCCCTCTTGGCCACCATGCCATTTAGCAAACACTGGGATTTCCTCACCATCTGTAACAGTTCTGTTGCTAGACCAAGAAAAGGATGATTTCCAGCCCTGAAAACCTCATCTTTGCTGGGAAGAGCCAATTCTGTGCCAAAGAGGGTTTGAGGACAGTAGAGTTCGCAGCCAGAGAAGCCTCAATTTAGTACCACTAGCGATGGGCCCAGCTCCAATTTCCTCTTCTCACACCACTAGGTTAACAGGCTTCTTACATCACACTAGGGATGCTGCTGATGTCCAAGTCCTCGCCCAGGAGCTGCTGCTCCCCTCCCCCCCCAATACACCCCACCTCGCAGTCATTGCCCAGTTTTATTTCATTTAAAACCCACTGTGTTAAATATTTTAGTTACAAGTTCTGTGTAGAGGGTACGAGTAATAGACTCTGCAGGCACTAGCAACCCCCTCACTCCCCCATACATGTGTGCGCTATCAGATTAAGGACTGCCCCCCTCCCCCCAAACCAGCATCCTCGGGCTGGGACATACATTACAGTTAAAGCCCTGGCCCTCCCCAGCACTCTCTGTGCCGGTAGCAGGCCAAGCCCTCGCACGCAGGAAGCTGGCAGTCGGATCCACCATCAGTGAGCTGTGATTCAAGGACAGCTGCTGAGGGCTGGTTCTTACCCCCATGTCAGGCATGTAATGGTGAAAGGGTTGCCCCCCCAGGGAACAGTGCTACCTCCACAGAGGTTATGGGCTCTGCCCACCCGGACATGAACATTCACGCCACAGTGACTGGGCTGGAAAGAGACAATCAATCTCCAAGGGAAAGCAGGGGAGCTGCCGCCGCTGCGTGCCTGTCTGCAGAGGGCACTGCCAGAGGCATGACACGTACCTCAAGCCCAGCTCTGACCAAAACCTCTGCTGCAAGCGGCTTGCAGGTCCCCAGACTGCCCTTGCAAGGCAGATGAGTGTGAAACATTTTCAAGCAAAACAGGGACATAAGAATAGCCTTTCCTATCCTCTCCCCCCAGGAACCTCAGTGCTAGGAAATAAAGCTGAACCCACCTTGGAGTGGCAGGGAAGGGTATCCTAGCACAGCAGCAGCAAGCAGTTTCCAGTGGTATAGGACAAGCTAGAGGTGAGAGTTTGGTGCTGTGAGGGAGAGGATGCCATACAGACAGCTCTGGAAAGGCAGGGCCATTCAGTGGTCAGCCCACTGCACAGCAATCCTCGTGAGAATATGAACCTTCGTTAAACAAAATAGGAAAGGAGGTAGGAGCTATCCCCACAATTCCCTCTGGGACAGCTCCGATCACAGCGGAGGGAGGGAGACTTGGAATGACCCCTGCCAGTTCCTGAATGCCCTGCATTGGCCCTGCTGGTGCTGCGGCCCTGTCCTGGGTGGGTTGCATGGGGGTGAGGCTGCTCTACAGGTCGAGCAGCAGCACGCGGGGATCCTCCACCGCTGCCTTGATCTTGCGCAGGAAAGTCACTGCCTCTCTGCCGTCAATCAGCCGGTGATCGTACGTCAGCGCCACGTACATCATGGGCCGCACCTCGATCTGAAAGGGAGGAATTAGGCATCAGTGAGCTCAGACCTACTGCGGGCATGATGCCCTCCACAGGCTTCTTCCTACCCTGAATCCAGGCCTCAGGCCCTCCCGGATGTGTCCTGCCTGGCAGGATTACCTATCTACTCACTCACTCAGGCGCTAACCATCACCCAGGCTGGGTCCACAGCACACAAGACTACGTCCCTTTCTGGAGATGTTCTCTTGTCACAAAGCCTACAGCCTCCTCCTCACACCTCAGCGGATTATCCAGTTCTCCCCATCACAGGCAGGACAAACACACCATGCGCACCTCAGGCAAGTACTGGTGCCAGCAAAGCTGCCCTACATCCATTAGCCTCTGCTCCTTGTCACAGTAAAGCCTTTTAGAAGCTGACACCAACCCCCTAGAAAAATCATATGGGCCACAGTCCTTATCCCACTGAGCCTTCTCCTCTGTTCGCTGACACCTCCCATGCAGCTCCACCTACCTTGCCTCCCACAGCCACAGGCCTGTCAAAGATGGCATGCATGCCTAATATGGCAGACTGGGGTGGGTTAATGATAGGTGTTCCAAAGAGTGACCCAAAAACCCCTCCGTTGCTGATCGTGAAAGTGCCACCATCCATGTCTTCAATGGCCAGTTCATTCTTCCGTGCCTAGAAGAAAAAGTAAGGTCTTAGCCACACAGATCACATAAGCCAAAGCATGAAGGTTTGCACATTAACTCTCTCCAGGAATAAATGCTGATGGCAAGAGCTTCACTTACTGATCTGTTCAGCTGAAAACTAGAAGGAGTTACATGAAAATGCATCCTGTTATTAGGTCTGAATATTTACTGGCTTTGGGGAAAGATTCGCTCCTTCCAACTCCTGCTTTTGCAGGAGACTGACGCAGGGACATCTACCCCAGGGCAGTTCAGCCGTGGCCTCTAGAGACAGAGGTGAAGACACTAATGCATAGTTTGCAGTCTTCTGGAAGGGCAACAAGTAAATAGGCCTGTCCTGTAAGGCACAGACACAGCTACAGATGTAACTGGATC